CAGACAGACAGACAGACAGACAGACAGACAGACAGACAGACAGACAGACAGACAGACAGACAGACAGACAGACAGACAGACAGACAGACAGAGAGCAACGGATCCCCTTCGCACGTATCAGAGGGCCCATGCAGGTAATCTGAAGGGTCCTCGCAGCAATTTAGCGCAGACCCTCCACCAAAATCGAGGCAGGTAGTGAATATGAAGTGAAGCACGAGCTGGCCGGATATATGCTCAGGATTTGAATTCAGGTCTGTGTTTCAGCAGTTATGGGTTGCTCACTTAGCTAGGCCCTGTTGGTCTCTGCACGTGATTCTCAGGGCTTGGCTGCACCACTCACCACATGTGCAAAATTAGAACGAATCTTCTGCTAGAATGTGGAATAATACGCCGCCATATGCTTTTGTCTTTCGTGCATGTGGTGAGTAGAGGGCCTTAGGGCCACTGCACGTATTCCTAAGAAAAGAAAAACGAGAAAATTTCAGAAAAACGAGTATTAGTGACCCATAACCGTGATGCACAGACCTGAATTTGAATCCAGACTATATATTCTCGGCCCACGCATACAAACTGGAAGTCTAAAATCTATCTCTGCTTCACGTGGAGTCCTCGCCAATTCGCTGTAGGGGCCCTTCGGAAAAGAGACTGGACACAATTAAGACATGCACACCGACACACACAGACATGTGCCCACAGTTTTGGGGTATGGTTTGGCCCCGACTTTTTTCCCTCTTGCTTTCTGATTTTAGAAGCGATGGGCACGTTTGGTCACCCCACCGTCCTTTGAATTTTTTTTTTAATATTTTTTTTTTCGTGATGCCCCGCATCACGTGCGCGCGCGTGCGCTCTGCGCTGCATGTGCCGCAACCCCGTGCACGGGATGCGCCACAAGTATGAAAAAAAGCATGGGTCTTAGACAACGGCGTTGGCCGGGCAATTGCCAGCATGTTCAGGAAGAGAAGAAGCTGAGCTTGTCAAGCAATCATGTGCTTTTGCTAGCAAGAAGAAGATCCCTCCTGGTTGTGAACAGCGGAAGAGCAGTCGCACACGCACAGAGCTCCCTGACCGTTTTCAACATAATTTCACAACTCAAGGGGGCACTGCTGTTTCGACCGCAGTGCGCCAGCTATATGTTGACCTTTCTCGTACAACAGGATAGAAAGTAGAGGGGCACCACCTCTATTTGACGCTGTGAAGACAACTAAGACCTGTTCCCCCCCCAACAAAAAGTGAAAAAGGACAATTTATCATACTTGAAAGCAATGTTACCAGTTGTCCGATGGCAGGATGTCCTGGCCGGACATTCAGGGGGTCCCGGACATCCGGGCCGGACAATTCCATTTTTAGCTAGGCTACTAGCCGGGCCGCCCGTGTCCCAGGTGGCCACCCCGTGCAAGGACCTGGGAAGGTCCCAGCAAGAAAAAGGAGGAATCCAAAAAATTCCAAAAATCCGAAAAACAACTATGTTATGCAGAAAAATAAACGGAACAACTTTTGCCTCAGGGTGACATCGAAATTCTTCACCAAATTTAGAATAAAAAATAAAATTTTAAAATATTTGTTTTATTTCTATTTTTTTATTTTTTTTTGGCCCGGCCGGGCAATTGACCCCGGGCCACTCTGCCAGCCTAGATTTTTAGCAATTAAAAGCACGAAAAAAAGGAAAACAAATTGGGGCTGTCTTTAATTTTATTTTTTTATTTTAAATTTGACAACGAATTTCGATATCATCCCGAGGCAAAAGTTGTTCAGTTTATTTTTCTGCATAACATAGTTTGTTTTCAGAATTTTTTGAGTTTTTGTTTTTTTTGGCGTTCGGGCTCAGACAGACTTCCCGGGGAGGATGTCCAACCGGTTGTCCGAGCGGACAACCCCGGACAGTCAGGGGGGGTCCAGGTCGTCCGATCAGGTAACCTAGCCTGAAAGTTCAAAAATCAGGGTGACGACGGCTGCCTGCATAGCCGGTTCAGATCCTCACCGAAGCTTTGGATGGGGTTGTGTAGACCATCATCAGTTTGGATTCTTCGAAAATATAGTATGCTCTACAGCACACCACCATTGAAAAAAAAAAAAAACGACTCATAATGACCTCCACAAGCAGGCGCCAAAAAAGAGCGAGTCTGGGGAATCTCACGCATTCCAAAAGCCCAATCCACTACCCTCAGGTCCTGCATTGCACAGAGGATGGGTGAGGTTGGCGAAAGGACGGGAGTGAAGAACACTCACAAGAACCTGGTCGACGTACTCCAGGTGAGTGCTATGCACTCGCAGCACAAACGTTAGAAGGGCGACATGTAGGCTCACTGCACCAACAAGCGGCATGTCGGGTTGTGCAGCAACAACCTTCCACATGGCACACAACCAGAAAAGATGACACAGTCTCAGCAAATGGCTAAGTTGCACAAATCGTAAATACTAAGAAGGAGAGGCATACCAAGAAGAGAAAACAGACACAAGTACGAGCATAAGAAATGTCAGAAGAAAGGTAAGCCGACAAGAGGGACAGAAACACAGGAAAGTCAGCTGAGATGTGTGTGTGTGTGTGTGTGTGTGTGTGTGTGTGTGTGTGTGTGTGTGTGTGTGTGTGAGAGAGAGACAGAGAGAGCAATGCAGGAAAGCCTAAGAAGGGTGTGGGAGAGAGAGAGTGGGAGGGGCTAAGTGGGAGAGAGAGGGGGGGAGGGGCTAAGTGGGAGAGAGAGGAGGGGAGGGGGAGAGAGAAAGAAGGCCATGAAAGTGGCTATCTTTTGCCAATTTGCCTCATAAGCAATCCGAGTTGTAAGTGGGCGCCAATACGACAGTGATATAGACAAGAGATTTTCATCTGCTAACCTGTCCCGGAGAAAGAGCAATTACTGACGTAGTTCTGCAACACCTCTTTTTGTGACAGGTCTCTTGCATGACCCCTGCGTGCCCATTCTTTGTTTTTTTGTTGTCTTTTCTCTGCCTTCCCATTCTGAATGCACTTCTGAAGGTAATGAATTTCGCATGGATCGAGTCCACATGCATGAAGATTCAAGAGCCAGTCTTGATGTAAAATATTGTCACAGACCTATGGACTCAAAGAGCGCACTTTGCAAAACAAACGATAAAAATAACAATACACAAGACAAACATGAAGAGCACAATGAAACCCTTCATTTTTCTCATTCTTCTTTTTCATTTTTTCCCCACATTCTTCTTTTAACTTCCCCCTTCAGTAGTAAGTATGAATCATACTTGCAAGTGCTTGTCGTGAGCGCGGTTCACGACGTGTGACGCATGCACCCAACCAATCCTGTGCGGTGCATGATGTGTGCAGGGAACGACCCCTCACCCCGCTTCAACAAAAAGAAAAGAAGGCTAGGGGTCAAAACGGTGCATTTGAGGCCCCCCATCAAAATTATAAGCGGGATGAAAAAAAGATTGCAGGAGTGCTGCCTCACCTCGCTCCTCTTCCTCGTCCTCCATGTCTCCCCCTCCCTTCTCTTTTTCGTCTCCTCCGACTCGTCGTCCTCCTCCTGTTTGTCCTCCTCCTGCCCTTCCTCATCCTCCTTGTCTCCTCCTCCTACTTCCTCATCTTCCATGCCTCCTCGTCTCCTTTCGACTCCTCATGTCCTCCCCTTCTTCGCCGTCCACGTCTCCTCCTTCTCCCACTCGTCCTCCTCCGCCTGCCCTTCCTCTTTTCCCTCTGTCCATCTCTTCTCCTCCCCCATCTCTACTCCTCCTCTTCCACATTCCCCTCCCCTCGCCATATCCCCATCTTCCTGTCATACGCCCCCCCGTCCCCCCTCCCAAAAAATAAATAAACAATAATAATAATAATAAAAAACCTGCACGATTTCGCACAGGCACCCCCCGCACGAAACTCCACATGAATGTGCGAGCTCGTGTGGTTGCCCGTATGGTATTTAGCGGGGGAAAAAAAAACAAAAAAAACAGACAAGTATGAAATTACGATGAGCTCACACTTGGCAGAAATCCCACAAGCCAGCGTAAGGCTGATACTACCAAGGTGGAGAAGGTTGCAACCTTGTCTTAGTGATGCCTCACTAATGTTTTTTTCAATCCTGAGGAGCCAACGATGTGAACCCACAGAGTGAACGCTGCATGACAACGAATACCCACAAATGAACGCTGCATTCATTTGCTCAGGTATGCAAGGACTGTTCACTCTATGTGTGTGGCCATATGTAGCCCCTCCCCTTCCGCTCCAAACAGCATAATTCAGTGCATGTTTGGCGTTGTTTGCGCAACCCATTTCATATAGTATTGGACAATAAACAGTAGATAGGCACTCTCAACTTCTGCGACGCCCAGGTTGTTTGTCGTGAAGAGCCACATACCCTTGCAACAGCTGCACGAAGTTTATTAAATGCATCCACCTCAAGAAATTCTGGTAGGACCTAACAATACACAGCAAGCCAGCCATATATCATGCATAAGCCAGCAGCACGAATGTCAGCAATCACGAAACGCAAAAGCCAGGTCACTGAAACGTCCCTACTGTTACATGCCCAGTCGGGCGATGTACATACATAACCAAGGATCCGCAATGTGATGAAAAGGACGGAATGGACAATGCAGTGCTAATAGAATCTCAACAAGCAATGTTCATCCTGATACATACAAAATGGCGCCTTATAGCGCAGCGGAAGACTTAGATATAAGTCCTGACCTGACCGGGACTGACCACTCTCACGTAGTGCAAGACAGCGCAGCAGAATGCTAGAATACCAATGACTAGCCCAATCAATGTCGCAGTACAGACCAAACATACATCATTCTCATCACAAGGTGTGAAGGGGCCTGGCGCTACACACAGGAAGAATGCGCCAGGTCCAGTTCATACACAGACGAAGAGGAGGGGAGCAGACGAAGAAGAAGGGGGAAGATGGGAATGTCGTCAACACCAAGTCTTCGTTACAAGTCCCAAATAACCCCTCGTCAAATGTCTGAAGCCCAATGTCGAGTCTGGACCAAATGTCACCAATCCCGCTCTCTCGTAGTCTGCTGATGCAGTGAAGTCAGGTGGCGAGAGGGTGAGAGGAAGATGGACTGAGAAGAGGAAGAAGAAGAACTCTCTCTCTCTCTCATGTGCCAGGTAATAACCTGTGAAGATGGCGCTGTGCTCCAGGAACCTCGAAGACGAAGCTGGAGCTATGGCGCTGCAGGTAAGTCTCCCTGGCGTCCGCCCAATCTCTCTCTCTCTCTCTCTCTCTCTCTCTCTCTCTCTCTCTCTCTCTCTCTCTCTCTCTCTCTCTCTCTCTCTCTCTCTCTCTCTCTCTCCAGTACTACTCTAGCTCCTACTGCTGAAGACTACTGCTAACGCTACTAGCGCCCAGCGCTGAAGACTACTGCTAGCGCTACTACTACTCCTGCAGCGCTCCTCCAGAGTGCTGCTGCCAAATCCTGAAGACTACCTCCTGCCACCTGAACTGCACGTGAAGTGCCTGGTAAGTACCTAGGAACTACCTGCAGCCTGCAGTACGGGCCAGTCCTATATAGTGCTGGCCCGTCCAGGGGGCTGCTCTTGCCAATGCCAAAACGTGCCAGACCCTGGCGTTGAAGCTCAACCAAGGGTTGTCTTGAAAACAGGCCCAAAATGACCTGTGCTAAAACCCTGGTCTGGTGCCTGAGTTTCAGGGCAGGTCGATCTTATGAGGGCCTGAAAATGGCCCTCCGTTTCAGGCTGAAAAGACTCAGGGCCGGAAAGGCCCTGTTTTAGGCTGAAACGACACAGGGCCTGTAGGCCCTTGTTTTCAGGCTTTCAGGCTAAAACGACACAGGTCCTGTAGGCCCTTGCTTTCAGGCTTTCGGGCTGTTGCAGGTGCAGCATGTAACACCCCCCCCTCCTTATGAAGTCAAGCCGGGTCGAGGGCGAAGCTGATGATCTGAAGGTGGAACCTGGACGCGGTTGCGACATGGAGCCGAAGATACCGTCTTGCCTTGCATCTTGCGTTCGTAGTGTGCGAGAACATCTGGAGCTGGTGCTTGGAGTTCCGCACGGGTCAACCAACAGTCAGCTTTGTGAGTGCAGTACGCAAAGTGTACCACGTACTCGATTTGCCCTGTTGCCGTAGCGTCGCTGGGAGATGATGTCGCCGACCTCTTGAAAACCGTCCACAGATGGTGGGTCTTGCGATCCTCACCCGGGAAAATCGTCATGTTCCGATGGCGTGTAAAGATCCAACTTGATGCAATGAAAGACGGGGTAGACGGGCAAGTGGGCGGGCACCTGAATGGTGAAAGAAGGTCCTTCGGGTGCATCCCCAGCGGGTGCCACGATCGGCCAGGGCCCCATCCATTTCGGGAGGAGTTTGCGAGAGATATCTTGCTAAAGGCTGAATTCCGCGGCGGAAACCCAAACGAGATCGCCGGCACGGAATGAACAAGGAAGACGCTGGCGATTGGCCTTTTGGCTCATGCGTTGCTGCGTCTTAGCCATCTGGTCGCGTGCCTTGACAAGTAGCTCTTGCATCCGTCGCAAGAAAAGAAGATGGTCGTCGCTCTCGGCCGTTCGTGGAATGATTGTGTCCAACGGAGAAGTGACCGGCGAGCCGTGCTCAAACTCGAAGGGCGACATCCCGATAGTCGGGTGGATGGACGAGTTGTATGCCAACTCGACATCCGGCAGTCGCTCAACCCAATCCTTTTGGTCGGGATGGATGATTGTGCGAAGGAGAACCTGTGCGGTCTTATGCGCCCTCTCCATTCAGCCATCGGTTTGGGGGTGGCGAGCCGAACTTGGCTTGAGAGATGAGCCCCATCGTTCGATGAGCGCCAACCAAAAATCGGACATGAACCGAGTGCCACGGTCGCAGACGATTTCCTTGGGGTAACCCTTGGTTCGAATGCAACCGGCGTAAAGAACTTCAGCCAGCTCCGGTGCCTTGGCATGATAGCGGCAAGGCAAAAACATGGCGAACTTGGTGAGTCGGTCGACCACCGTGAGAATCCCATCCACACCGGTCTAGTGCTTGGGAAACGGCCCGGTAATGTCCATGGCAATCACTTCCCTTCGGCGCAAGGGGACCGTTAATGGTCGCCACTCGCCGTACGGACGATGGTTGCAGGATTTGCAGCGTCGGCAAACAGCCTAGTTATCAACGCCAGAAATACTTCCCAACCATCATTGCAATTGTTTCCACAACTTTCCAGGTAAACGAGGAAACGAGGAAAACATGCAGCAGCACAAGTTGAACATAGAACACAGTGAGTTTAGGACGACCAACAACTTGCCAACTAGCTAAGTGTGTTGTCACTGTTGTCATAATAGCAGGGACTAGATAAAGGGGGTCCGTCTTAGCACCGCAAGGGCCGAGTAAACACACCTTCTCCCCAGCAGGACGCACCCTCCCCCGTGGCAAAAAGAGAAGAGAAGACGACTTGTAAGGATCGTTATCATCTCATGCACGCCATGAGCACATGTGGCGCAGTGCACACAGCGCACTTGTGTGTGCCCCACCAAAAAAACACCGCCAACAATCATGCGAGTTTTTAAAATGCCAAAAATAAAGTGTGCGATGCGAAACACTATTTTGAGCTGCGTTTGCCTACATCGCGAACCCCAGACTTGCGTTCTTTAGAGCTTACGAAAATCATAAACATTTTTTTGCGATTTGAAATTCTTTGTATTTCAATTCCGGAGCGCTGCACCAGTTTTTGCCGCAACCGCACAGCAAACTGCATGGCAAATTCGGTCACAAACTGTGTAACACAATTCTAAAGCCTCCCCACCATTCCTTTTCCAAACGCGAGGTTTGAACTCACGGCCTTCAGATTATGCAACTCCCCCCATTCCATTTGCAGTTGCTGGCAGGGCATACGGCCGTTCTAACTTCTCTGCAGTCGCTGGCAGTGAAGAAAGGTGTTCTCTCAGCAGTTGTAAACAATGCGTTTAGCCCCGCCATGGTGCGACAGGGATTGGCAAGCGCAGTTGATTACGTCTAAGCTAGCTGGAGCACAGAGACTACGGACATCTTCGTCCACATGATGGCAGCATAGTACTCCACCTCTTCACAACAGTTGCATGTATGTACCATTGAGCCACTAGGGCTGTTTCTCCACAGATGAATACGCATATATATTGTCAAGCGCATGCATCATTGGCAAACCACTAGCTCTTCAGCAGCACATCACTCATAGACTATTGAAAACACGCCCAAGTGCGGTGATGCCAACTATAAGACAGAAGACTGACAGACATCCGTGGACCTGCTGGAGGATGGCGGTGAATTGTAAGGGAACTTCAGACTATCCATAAAGAGAAAACTTAGAAATCAATCAAGAAGATATCTGGGGCATACTCCCGCTTGCATTTTTCTAAACGCATCTGGCCCGCAATTATGGCCCAGTGTGGATGGATGTATCTGACTGGCAATCACGTCCAAAGCTCGCTCAAAAAAGTCCTACTGAGAGTATGCCCTGCACAATGTGACTTCCTCATCCATTCATCAGTAACTGTGTCCGCAATGTTGAATGACAAAATGTGTGGTAGACGCACACAGCAACACACCAAAAAAATCAAAAAAAATCCTCGAAGAATGAACTGCTACAGGAAATTTCAAAGAGCCAAAGATTCGCTCCACAGTGCACAGTGCATACTTTTGCATTGCAGATCATTTCCAGCACAGTTCAACCTGGATCAACCATATGATTAGTACATCCAGTCATTTGATGATTTGAACATAAAATTCTACAAGCCTGGCAAGTGGTCAGTTATCGATAAAGTTGTTTTTGAAACTCACAACAACACTTTTCTTCAGGACCAAGGTGCAAATCAAATGCAGAAACTTTCAAAGATTAGACAGGCTCGTTGTTCCGCTAAATAAATGCATATGGTTGAAGATCTGCACAATCTTCACATTCATTAAGTAGGCGCAATCCACTTACAAGTTGAGTTCAACACTTCCAAGTTAATCAAGTATTAGAAAATGCAAAAGCTGCTGTCCTTTGGGACATCCATTGAAATTGGAACAATACAGAGAAGGGTAATTAGTGTAAGTACTAATAAACATGGCCCCTGTGGGCAAGGATGACACGCATAGATCGAGAAATGGTCCACAATCTTTAAGAAAAGGGAAAAATAAATAACTAAGCAAAAATCGAGCAACAATGAAGCTGATTCTGAACGTACGTTTCGAAGAAAGATTTCGAATGATATCCAGAGTTACAAGTTTGGATGATTTCAAACCCAGTATGTCCATACATGTGCAGTCTCCGCAGAGGGTGGCGAAGCCACAGGACTGGCAAACTGGCACCATAACTAGGCCCAAGAGGACTGGTCCCAGACGAAAGAGCTCACAACCAGAGGAGTTGTAATTTCTAAATGTTTTTCTGATTCCATTGAAGAATGGCAGATTAAGATTTTGACTGGGTAGAATCCCACTTACATCTGGGTATGCTTGTGCATAATTGGAGAGCCGTTCCATCAGCTGGGACATCACAGTCTTTACATCCACGGTTGGCTGTGGCATCCACGTCCCCGCTCATCCAACAGAAAAAAGTAACAAAAGCACAAAAAACAGCAACAAAAAAGTGTACCCACAGCATCGCCATCACCAACACAGAGAGAGAGAGAAGCACAAACAAAACAAAAGATCATGCGACCTCGGTAAGTTCCGCATTCTAATTCAAATAGGGGTGTAGTCCAGTCTAGAAGGGGAAGTAAACAGTTCAGCCAGTTTGCATGAGCTGCCACTGAAGTCATGATGAAGCTGAACGCCTAACAAATTGTCAGACGCACTGGATTGTCTGGAAATTGCGCGACTGCGGTGTCAACATCAACCATCCTGAATCATCCCAAGAACAAAGGGGCTTCAACGCCTACAATGATCGTAATCCATCTCCCTCATCTTTGATTCTCACAGTCATACCATATGCTCGAGCTCAAGCTTGTCTTCTTGCTTGACGTAGACGGTCGACTATCCGCTTCCATAGAACCCTCACCTACCCAATTCATATTTACACAGTAAAAATCTACACAGAATAGAGATATGAACAGTGAATAGGGTCACACTTCTATCCCCTACCCACCACCTCACATCGCTCCATCAACTTTCCCCGACAAGGAAAAATTCAGTCTTCTCATAGGCGGCGACGTACGAGCTTGCACAACCCATTTCATATAAGAATGGATTGAACGTTTCATTCCGAGTTTGGGATGTGATGAAATCTTTGATCGCTATTGTATCCATGGTTGGCATTACGGCCCGAGTCCGAATCCATACCAGGCTGTATAATCGTGTTCCGATCTCCTCCAAAAGTAAATTCCTTCTCACAATCTCATCTGATACCATCCCTGGTGGTAATCCTAGAAACTGCATGCTTTCCTGAAAGATAGCTGGAGCATAGACATTCATTATATTCATTATAGAGCAATATAGACTTCTAATTTCCTCCTGCATACGTATACAGACTTTAGTCAGCACAGCTTGCAAGTGGCAATTTTTAGCAGAATATACTCAGAACTCTGGATTTGTGGGCATGGTTGCAAAGACGTGAGTAGCGGAAAAAAAAAAAAAATACAGAACACATTCAACACGCACCTGGAGTTGCGGGCAGGCACCGAGCAATGTCTCCAGCGTCTGAAGGTGGAAGTCATCTGGGAACACCTGAATTAAGCAATCCATCAAGTAGTACTGTGCAATCTCATCCTTGCAGTTAACAACCTGAAAACCACCAGACAAAACCAGGAAAAAAAAAAGGAAAAAAAAAAACACGCAGGGACACATCGAAGAATGCCCACACTGGCATTAGTTGTCAGGTATCAGCAAAGAGCAGCCGTAACTTTTTTTTTGTACAACCAGTCCGAAAAGGAACTGCTGTATGCGACTGCGCAATATAGTGTCATCACAGTCGCCCGTGAAATCCTGAAAAGACTCATCATGCATGCATAGAAAGAAACAGGGAAAAACGGAAGGGGAAATTAAAACGAATCCTGCAGTACGACCCGGCCTGGCTCAGTTGGTACACCCACGGACTGTTAGTTTACACGATAGGGAAAAAAAAAAACAAAAAAAACAAAAAAAAGCAAAAAAGAATGAATCCTACACCTATCCCAACCTCCTCAAGATGAACAACAGCACATCTTATCAAGTGGGTACACAGCTCAGAAGGACGTATCACTAAACTTCAGCCATCTGACAACCAAACGGTCGCTGCCTTTAATGCAGCTGGCAAGGAACTTGAAGGAAGGGCTTCGCAGATGCCAGATGGAAGGAGTTGAAGTTTGAAGACACTTAAAGATAGTAAGGAACAAAACGCTGCAATGAGTAGTATCTATCAAACACACAATCAGTATACGCAATTGACCAGCTTCAAGTATGGCCATGGAATTCCGATTTGCATTCATTATCACCAAGCGGTCTGGACAGGATCGCCGGTTCACAAAGATCATTGGTTACCAGGAAATAAGGAATCATGACCGCAACGAGTGCCAAGGCACGATGTGCCAGATTGACTAAGTGACCAGGGCTGCTGGTTGACCACGGCAAAAGGAAGAAAAGGCTGCAACCAGTAGGTCCAGTACTGAATCAGGATCGCTGGTTGACCAGGGTCACTGGTTGACGAGGAGAAAAGAAGAAAAAGTGTACCGCAACTTGTTGACCAGGATCACTAGTTGACCACAAGGAACAAAAGGTTGGACTTTTAACCAGTTGACACGATGGCGCGTTGACCAGGAGAAAAAGAACAAGGAGGGTGCAACAACTGGGATAGAAAGCACAATCACTACCCTCTTCACCCGAATAGAACGCCTGGTCATTATGGCCGTATTTGGGGCAACTTTCAGGCCAGATGGAGTGATAATGACCAGGCAAATTTATTCGGGTTAAGACGGTAGCTGACTACGACAAAATGAAGACTTAACCCGGGATACAGGGCTCAACAGCAGGCGCAACTTTCATCCATACCCTGACCAGTCTGCCGGTCGACACAATCTGGATGAAAGAACATGCCAGAGAGACCTGCCTTCCCCTGATGAAGAGCAAAGAATGTTGAGAAACACATGACATCAACAGAGTTTATCACAAGTTTCTTTGATTCGACATCATTTGCTGATGACAGTCTCATAAGCCCTGTGTGTTCACTCGGGGCACGACCATCTGTTTTGACAAAAAGATCCAGAGACTCAATACCGGACAGACTGCACTCCAAGTGCAATTCATTCCCGATAAGCCCCGAATGTTCACTCGAGGCAACGATAATCTGTTTTCATAACAACATCCAGAGATCAGTACTGCACAGACTGCACTCCGAGTGCAGCCCATTCCGGGTAACGTGACAAAGCAAGTCGAGACGACTACGCTGCAGGAATTCCCCAGAAGGGAGCCATCATCAAGACCTCCCAAGAGCTGTTTGCAAGGATCTTGACGTCGACCCCCCCTCCCCCACGCCCACACACCCTCGTGTGTCAAATGCATATAAGTTATTGATGCTTCCCAATCTCTCCATCCATGTGCACGCAGCATCAGCAAATTAGTCCCTGCCAGACAGCAAACACAGCAAGACATGACCCACCCACCTGCTCAAGAATGCGCGGAAGTACTTCACTCTTGTACATATCCAGATCCACTCCTTCCAGCTGGCTCAGCACTAACAGGTTCTTCCCTACCTGCCACCATACAGCAGCAGGTCCTCAACCACTTATCAACGATGACACCGATAACAATTCAATATGACACTGACGAAAATACAATGTGACACTGATGGCGATTCAACATAAAACTGCTGACAGCTCAATAGAGTTGGCGGGTTAGCGGGTGCTGCAAGGTTGAAAGTAGGCAATCGTCACAACTGCCGGGCGGCCTTCTCCAATTGACCGGAAGCAGAGGATTTCCAAGTAGGAAACAACGCAAAACATCAATAAAGAAGGTTTTTTCCGTGTTCCCAGCGAAAAGTGGGAATCGCCAAAAGACACCAACAACTGGCAAAGTCTCACAATTCATCAAAACTCTATCATTTCTTGAGCACACACAAAACGACGTCAAATTGCTGACAGTCCTAAAGACCAGAACACATTACACTACAACATACTATCCGCACATTACCTTTATTCTTACCTACCATTGAACATACGGCCATTATATCTGAATTTTGGCTGCCTTTCAGTCTAGTTACAGATACAATGACCATGTTTTCTATTTGGGGGAAGACAAAGTATTTACACAAGATACCAGTTTCGCCGCAGTGCCAGTTGCATCTCAAGAGTTATGTGCGAAAGACTTCAAATGAGGGCGAGTTATGTAAGAAAGACCTCAAATGAGGGCAACACGCTCTTGCTAGTCATCATGCGTGTTCCTTAGCGATGCCTACCCTACAACTCATCATAACAGTATCGCGAATAGCACTTCTGAACAGAGTGCTCTACAGACCTTGGGAGCACTTTAGATGTTCCTCAACTTGCAGCCTTAACAAACAGAGCTATGTGCAGGAAGAATGGTACTCTTTAAAAAGAGAAAAGCACATACTCTAGGAAGGGTGGAAGGAAATCCCTGCACAGAGGACGAGATCGAAGAAAGGTTATGAGAATGAACAACATGCCTGATGCAGTACCCTCTTACAATCGAAAGCTTCTTTTTTGTTCTTTTTTGTTCCTTTTTGTTCTCTTTTGTTTTCTTTTGTTCTTTTTCGTTCTTTTTTGTTCTTTTTTGTTTGTTCTTTTTTGTTCTTATTTGTCAAGATTCAGTCATCTTATAATCAAAACCTTGCGACAGATGTTGAACGTAACTGCGCAAAAAAAAGGAAGCAAATGGACAGCCGCTGAATAACATAATACCATTTTTCAGAGGCAAGCCAACCACAACACCATACATATATATTGACTAGATATAGTCAAAAAATATGATATATATTGTCACATTGTGAATCAGAGCGCAAAAAAGGGAAAAGAAAAAAGGAAAAGGAAAAAAGGGAAAGGGAAGGAGGTAAGGAAAGCTCCACCTGTTCATAACCTCTTACGTACAAGGCCAGCCACGTGGATGACAGGTTGAGCGCTGGCTGCCCCCATCC